CGTACTCAAAAGACTCCAGCTAGTCTCTGTAGTTCGTTGACTTACAGCTACTTATAGGTAGTTACTATCTATAGTGTAGTTACTCATGGGGGTGACAGGTTATTCAATTACATCACAATTGTTATCAAAATATTCATAGAAAAGACAAGGAGAAGCTACATTAGGGCAGTGGGGAAGTGACTGAAGCTGAGATGCCAGGTCAGGACCAACAACATTACAGACTCTTCCTTGGATTTTATCAAGAATCTTGAGATATTTAGCAGGAGCACCAGTCTAGACATGGCAGTGATATTTAATGTATGGATGAATAGTAGATTCATAAATATACAAGATGGATACTGGCAAGAAAAAAATTGTCTGGCATGACACAGGGAACCAATTTTCCAAGCAGCAGACTAAGCAATTGACTCAATATAATCATTCCACTCCATGTCATTGAGATTGAGAAGGTGCAATGAGTTGCTATGTTGGTGAAACTAACTTAGAAGAAGGAATCAGTCAAAGTCTTGTATCGCCCACAGATAGCACTTTTTGTACTAACATTCACCAAATACAAGATCCAAGAGCCACTCAAAGTAGAGGGTTACTGAATGAGGTTGTTGTAGGGCTGTAAAAGGAGCAAGTAATAATTTTATCTGTCTATATTTCTGAGAGGAGGTATTGTAACTATTTAGACTATTTACATTGTTTGGACTGCTGTCTTCATCTTGATTGTCATTCCATATGTCATCTTGTGCAGCTGTGGCAAGAAATATGAAGGCGAAACAGGTCACCTCCTTAAGATAAGACTGTAGGAACACTGTAAGCCCATAACAGAATTGGGAAATAGAAAAATCAGGCATGGCTGACCATATATCCCTGTGGGATAAAGCTGAAATAATAGACATCACTGGAAAATATAAAAACTTAAGGAATCAGTGCATATGCTAGGCTGCAAATCTCCTAAGCCGGCCAAGCATAGACATACAGAGAGCTAGAGTAAAACAACAATAAGAGAAAAAACTTGGAGAGTTGAGTTACTAAAGGGAATTAACTGAAACTGGGATATCTAAAAAAGACATGGCATGTGTAATTAGAACAATTACTAACAACAGAAAACCGATCCCCCATTTTATGTTCAGTAGAATCTTGTATGAATAATACTAGCTTACCCATGACAGCATATGTGAAAATGATATTTTCTAAGTCCTTACTATGAAAAGGTTTTAAATATGTTTTTTCCAATACTTCTTCTTCTATGTGCCATGTCTCTTCAGGACCTAATTGATCATGTCTCTCTACAACTTCCTATCCTTTATATCCCTTAGTAAATTTTGTCTTTTGCTATCTCTCCAAATCACAGTTCTGCCAACCATCTACACAAGCTTGTTAGGCAGGTTATTTGCTGCTATCCACTGTCCCTCTTGCCTTCAATATGTCATGTGGGTGTCAAATTTTCCAAGCCCTCTTTCCTCATTATGTGAGCTAGAGATTTCAACTCATTTTCTGATTCTAAGTTTCCTTTTTCTTTCCATTTTCCTTCAAACATTGTCTGTCCATGGCATTCTCAGCATCCTTCTGTAGAACCACACTTCTGTTGCCTCTTCTTAGTCTTTTCTTCATCTGTGAGAAGATTGTCTAGTATTCACTGCCATATAGAAGGACTGATATTACATAACATCCAGTATTTTTTAAAAATTTCTAGTTAAATTTTCCTGTTTCTTAATACTTTGCTTAGCTTTTGGAAGGTGTCTTTCACTATTCAGATTTTGGTGATCCATTTTTCATCCTTTGTTAAAATACTTCCTAGAGATTTAAATTTATTTACTTGTTTAATTTTGGTATCTCCAATTCATAGTTTGCATCTTGGGTTACTTCTTTTACTGACAACTGTACATTCTGTCTTTTTACAACTCATAATGGGGTGGTCAGTTTATTAGTTATTAACAATGGAAAAACATCCCTTATTTTATGTCCAGTATAACTGTATAATCTTCATTAATACTAGTCTATTAATACAGTTAAAAAAGATGGCATATGAATCTGATATTTTGTTATGCCTTTATTAGGTATATTTTAAATGTATAAATAAATCCCAATTACATGGGAGATAACATTCTCGTGTAAAATACAGCAAGTGTGTTGAGGTTTGGGGAAACACCTACTCAATTGCTCTTTTAAGAACTAAAGTAACAGGGAGAGAATGGAAAGAGATGGGAGGAAACGAAACAACACTGCCTTAAAAACTACAGCATGACAAGTGTCACAACAACTTTTGGAACATAATGCCCACGAGACTGACTTCACAAGACATTGAGTTTGCCAACTGCTTACCGCTGACTGCTGGTTTTCCTGTTGCTTTTATCGACAAGAGACAGCTGGCAGTAACCCAAATTGAAAAAAGTTACAGAGAGGCCTATATCTGAAAATGCCATACTGTTCTGCTGCTAATGGGGGAAACCTGGATGCAACTGGTTTGACAGACATGTCCACATGCAGTCCAGAGCCTCTTTTGTGTCTGTACTGGCTTGAAGTTCTATAAATGCCTAATATACAAGGGGGAGAGCAGAGTCCAACAAGAGTTGCAACAAGAAGATCAAATGTTTGAAGAAAGTCCCTGAAACCACATATCCTCCACAGGATTATTTAAGACAAGAAGTGAATAAACATTTATTTTACATATGAATAATTTAGCCTTGTATTTTTATCGGAAGTTTTAGCAAAACATTACATGAGTATATAAAAGTAAAAAGCAAATAGGGATGACTTTTCATTTGTAAATCATGGGTGACTGTGTTCACTTCTAGTTGTTATAGATCAATACCAGAAAAAAAATCCAACAATTTGGTATCCAAGGGAAGCAAGAAATAAATGAGAAGAAATACATGAAGATAAAACATTTATATACAGGGTTGTATTCAAGAAAAAATCCAATTAATACTGAACAGACAACAAATATTCTAACAAAGCTTAGGACTGAATTCAATTAAATTACCAACATAGAAGGTCTATTACTGAGAACCAAAGTCAAGATTGTCTTCTGAGAAATTTTTTCAAGAAAAACTCTTGAATTCTTAGCAGTCCTTTTAAAAATAAAAAAAAAATTCAATATTCTTTCAAAAAACAGCTTTGATCATCAACAATCAATAGGCTGGCATAAGCGATTCCAGTCACCAAATATTGCAATATCAATAACGAGAATTTTTGTATTTGATTTCCTCCCTTTGCTTTATTGATTCGGGTGATATCTGATTTGTAACGAGCCAAATTATTGATCTGTTTCTACCTTGGAAGACAAGAGCATTATGTGCCTGTCCTTTGCATTGATTTGGTAATGGATTTTATTTATACTTTTCATTTTCTGTTGTTTTTTTTCTTTTTTCATTAGTTTCATTTCTTTTGAGATAATCCAAGAAGTGAAATGTTGCCCACCACCTGATCATTCTTGGACAGAGATAAAAAGTAAAAGATCGAAAATAGATATGAAACAAAGGATATATATTTATATAAATATATGTGTGCGTGTGTGCGTGCACATTTAAATGCTCCCTCCCCACACACATATATATATATATATATATATATATAAAGAGAGAGAGAGAGAGAGAGCGATACACAGTTGGAAAAATCACAGGAATATAAAACAATTAAAACAGACATGATATATATTTATAAATTAAATAATTAAGAAAGAGATAACCTTAAGGTTCCATGACTATAATTTATTTCCCCCAAAATAAATTTTTCCTGGTTCATCAGGTCACATCTCTAGTTACCTATATAGATATATATGTTGTATATATATATGTGGGGGGGTGTTTGTAGTGTGCACAGCAATATCCAAACAGAAGTGGAGATGATGAGACAAAGTGGGAAAGCTATAAACAATAGCTTTTATAAACTTTACACTTTGTCTCAGTATCTCAAGATATATATATATATATATATATAGTCAAACATTATTATTATTATAATTATTATTACATTATATATATATATATATATATATATATATATATATATATATATATATATATATATAGCAGCATGGCCCGGCATTGCCCGTGTTTGATTAAAAAATCGTACGTCTCATACAGCAATCGCTATCACTTGACTTAAAATATTTTTGCCCTCCCTTGCCTTTAAAGGAGTGCCCTTTGCCGTGCTGATGTTGCTACATGCCTTACTTCTTGCCTATCTCACACTGCGAATTTTTTCTAAGCTCTATACTAAACATTAAATCTATTATGAAAAAGAACTAAACAAAATGAACACAAAACGATCAGCTTTAAAAAACGACTCATAACTGGAAAAACCAAATGAAAAAAGAATGTTAACAACAAATACTTTTTCACACCCAACCCAGTTCTGCGGAATCAGAATCAACGTTGAGTTTAAGCAAGCGAATGAGCCAATTGGAGTAAAGTGCCATGCAGATTTAAATTTTTCCCACTTGTGACGAATGCAGCTATCGAATTTTTTGCATGCTAGCATGCTAGTTACCATTCATGTTAGTCAGCTGTTGGCTCTCATGCTGGCCAATAGAATCTTCCTGCCTATTCGTGGCAGCCAGCTATTGGCTCTCACTCTGGCCAGTAGAAAATGGCCACAAACTACATGAAAACTGCTGTAGAAGCATGAAAAAATCGATTATTTCCACTATCGATGGGAATTGGGAAATGCAAAGTTGGTCTTGGCCTTCCCGCTAACTTGGAGCATATGCATGTAAATTTTGGTGCAAATCCGTCGAAAATTGCGGCCATGCATTCGTTACACACACACATCCTGCCTTTTATAGATATATATATATATATATATATAGCAATAATAAAGGCTGACAACGCTCATTTTCTGAGTACATCTGTCTGCTAGGGAAG